AATATATTTGGTTACAATTCCCTGCTGAAACACCGGGAAATAATTTAATCCTAGGCTCTGTAACCTTACTGCAACAAGTGGATATTAATCTATCAATTTATACTATTATCTTTTTTTTCCCTCTTACAATCTTATGTGTATATGTTACCTGATTTTTTTCCTTTGTTATTATCAGTTTATTGCTTATTTTGGGATTGTTGTTTGGTTGTTATTTTGTATGTATAATTCAAATCCCAATAAAAAGATTTGAATAATAAAAGCTCAACAAGGCTCTGTTACAATTCCGGCTGGATATTAGGACATTTGATCTAAACTGGTCAGTTTCTAGGCATATATCAGGATAGTAAACATAGTCTTAAACATTTGATGTTAGTAAGGCTATAACAGCAGCTCTGTATCAACCTGCACTATTCATCCTAAAGCAGTTTTTCTTAAAGACTGGCGTTATTTTTAAGGCTGAAACCTCTCACTGTATGCAAGTTTCAACTATTTCAACCTATGATATCATTTTCAGATAAAAGAAAAAAATGGTTATGCTCTTAAAAAGCTAATCATAAACTAGAAGATGCCAGATTGGAGATATAACTGCTCACAGTGAACCAATATTAACATACACATTGATTGGAGGTTGCAGATTTCTGCACAAGTTTTATGGTAAAAAGATGAAAGGTTGGGCAGTTGGTCAACTATCACAGGGACTATCTATGCTACATAAGCTGTTGAGCATAGTGGTGTTAGCATTCTGCACGAGGGCGTGCAATATTAAACAAGGAGAACGACAGAGTTTATTTTATCTGATCTCAAATCAACAGCCGAGTGTTGAAATTTGAAGGAACTTCAGTTCAGGAACAGCGCAGTGAGTCCAAGCTGATAAAAACTGGTTGTGGAATGGATAAGGCAGGCAAAGGCAAGAAAGAAACCAACATATTTTCATAAATCTACCATTTCTGATGCAATTTTTCAGTTAGAGAAAATCCACAAAAATGTGACATTTGTTGAGGGATCTTTTGAGAAGCTGTTGTATTAACATTCTGCTCTGCAACAGTTTGTACAAACAGGCGTGTAGCTAGAAGGGGAGCCAAGGTTAGCCATGACTATCCCTAGCCAATCATTGGCAACCCCTACAAAATAACTTGTTCTCAGAAGGATGTAATGAGACGCCTCTGGAATAAGCAGTTCCACTCTAAACCAGAGGGTGGCAGCAGTGATACTCTCGAGTGGAATTTTATTGTTAGTGTATTAACTATAACAATGGGAAAAATACAGTAATTCATTTCAATTATCTAAAACTAAAGGTGACAGAGAATTCATGCTCTTCTTTGAACTAGTTTGTATGTTTTATAGGGTAGAAGGTAAAGATTTGTCTCTGCAAGTCATCTATGAATCTTATATATCAACTTATATATCTCTTAATGTATCTGTATAAATGTTATGGAAAAATCATCACTTAAATAAAAGCAGAGAGTGATTTTTTAAAGTCCCTTTCTGATGTAGTGCATGTACAAGGCAGTCCTGCTCTTCGGCCATATTTGTGAGAAAGAAACTAATTTATTATGGACTTTTATCTTTCTCCTAAGGCGTTTCTTTACTTATCATGAATCTGTTAAACACTTTTCTTCTTGCATCTGTGGCCCATATTCAAAGTATGCAGTAAGAGCAGTGGATGAAACCAAAGCTGACTGGAAGCACTGGAAGTATCCATGTATAATGGCGCTCCCCCCTGAGCACCCAGTCTTTCATTTCGACAGCATGGATGTGTACATATGTGCATATGTTCATTAGCAAAAGCTTTAGGAAAAGTCCTTTCAGTGATTTATTTGGAAAACTTGGAAGTTGTGTTCCTTAATTTCCTTGTTGGTACATTATTGACGTATATTGACCCTACATTGCATACAAATCAGTAAATCCATGAATAACTCTTGTATTACAGATGATGACGATGTGTAAGCTTATGTTTGCTGTTAATATGCTTGCTTAACTTTAAAAAAACCCACAAGAGCCACAAGGTTTTTTGGAAAGAAAAAGAGAGCCTAGATGTTTTTTTTCAATCTTTCCAGATAAGTCACAGTGGACTTTTTATTGAAGAGTGTAAAAGATAGTCAAACAGTATTAACTACATCTAAATCATCAATCAGCATGTATTTATTGTCTCTGATAAAAACAAAACAAAGTAGAATAAGACCAAAATCAGCTACATCAGAAGCCTCACTAAAGTAGAAATAGGCAATGCAAAAGAAAAATCGGGAATGAAAAAATGCTGGGAACTCTTTATGTTACAGGGCTTCCCATTAGACGTTCCTGTCGCAGTGAGATCAGTCTTTTCATCCAGAGGTCCTCAGCCGTCTCTCTATCCATGAATAACTGCAGGACAGTGGAGACAGAGAGGAGGACGTGTTAAACAATAGCTGTAAGAAATCAACAGGGTAGTTCTGCTCTTAAGCTTTACTTAGACAGTTTTCAATCTCAAGTAAATACAGGTATAGACAATTCTATCATGTCTCCTCAGTGCAAAAGCAAAGAATAATTGGACAAAACAAACAGAAAGGAAAAGAAACGCATAAGAAAACAAAAGAGAGAGTATAGAATTATAACAACAAAGGTATGTTAGTAAAAACACAGAGATCACAGCAGAAAATCCAAAAGAGAAAAAAATGTCACATATTGTTAGGTTTGGTTGGACTAAAATCTCACCACAGTATTTTCTACTGGTTTATTGTTAGAACTTTCAGGGATGTAGGAAACATCATGCAGACATTTTATTTTCACCATGAATATATAAAAATTGATAAAACATTATAGACACACACATTGCTCTAAAAATTAATGCTCAAGTAGACAAAAGAGGTATCGTCCAATTACATTCCAAAACAAAATAAAATGTTTAACACAGGTGTTTGCAGCCTTTCAGTGTTAGCTGATCCACGTTTAGCAGTACCTCTGCCGCAGGTCCTTTGGAATATAATGCAACATGCATAGCACAGATTTCATTTTGCAAAATTGCCCATTCTTCTATTCAGTAAACCTTAAGCTCTGCCAGGATGGCTGGGAGACACTCAGGCATTTTCAGATTGGATTAAGGTCAGATCTCTGGCTTTGCCCCTCCAGGACATTCATAGAGGAGTTCTGAAACGTCTCCTTCCAAATCTTAAATTTGTGCTTTTAGTCATTGCTCTACTAAACAATGAAGTTTCAACTCTGATCAGAAGGTTACATGCAGGATGTCTCTGTTCGTTTCTCTTTTCAGCCTTCCCTCTAGTCTGCCAGTTTCTGCTGCTGACGACATGATGCTGCCACCCCCGAGCTTCACTGTAGTGATGGCATGGGCCTGGTGATGAAAGATGCCTGGTTTCCTCCAAACATGAAGTCTGGCATTTTCACTAAAGAGTTCAGTATTTTATTTTTCATTGTCTCATAGTGTTTCAGGTGCCATGTTTCCTGCAATAAGAAGGGACTTCTGTCTGTCCAGCGTACCATACTGGCCTAGTAGGTAGATTGCTGCAGAGATGGTTGTCATTCTGGAAGGTTTGCTCTTCCCAGAGGAACAGGATGGGGCTACCATGTGGTTCTAGGTCACATCCCTGACTAAATGCTGGTTCAAAAGGCAGGATTTTAAAACAGAGGGTTGGTTTCAAGGGGCCTGAAAAACACAAAATAAAATGACAATAATTCGTAGATAAAGCAGATTTGCTCCTCCAGTGTTTGGTGTTGAGGGAAACAGCAAGCTCAGCACACCTAACCTGAACAAATTTCATTCAGGATTCAGTTTCAAAGAAAAAAAAAAACAATTAGGCGGGTTATAATATTTACATCTTCTTTAAAACTCACTCCCTGTTCACTGAAAACGATAAACTCAGAGAGAGATTGGTGCCATTTTCTGCTGTCAAAGTGCCCAACAACACAGGAAAAAGTTATTTTACTTTTTTTTTCCAGATAGAAGAAATCAACACAGGGGTCTGAGAAGTGTCTAAATATAGTGATGAATTAAAAATATTTTAATGGAGCGATCAGAGCAAGCGCACTTTTCTTTGTACCGTACATGAAAAAATCCCCAAAACATTCTCCTGGCTTTTCTCGAAGATCTAGTAGATAGTAACTCCTTTATATGCATCCATGCTAATTTTTTTATTGTTTCATGAAGAAGAGATCACAGCCAGCAACTGGATCAGCTTCTCTGATATGCTGACAGGCAGCATAGAGCTGCAAAAGTTCCCAATTTCAAACTCCAGCGTCTGATCTGAACATGCTTGACTTGGAGGACACCACACACTACAGGATATCAGGTCAAGACAATCCAACATGCTGAATTTCCCTGATTTGTGATCGGAGGGGTTACAACGTTCTACTGAGCAGCCCCGATCACTGAAGGAACCACATACACCAAGATGATCCCTCATCAATCCAAACCAGCTCCTGATGTTGGGGCCTCTATGAGGGGAAGAACCAGCCTTAAAGCCCCTCTCTACATCTAAACACACCCCAGATCTGTGTCTCTAGGCAGCTTTGTTTCAGACAATTTGCTACAGACGCTTCCTTTGACTTCATGCTGGGTGTTTACACTGTGATGCTCCCACTAAATTATAGACCTAATATAGACAGGTGGTTAGACTCCATTTGAGCTGCAGACATTTAAAGGATCCTCAGTGGCAATGGTACACATCTCAGCCTGAATTTGGCCTTTATTGAAAAGGCTGTGAATACTAACGTCAATGTGACACCATCCTGGCGAGAGGTGTCAGCCGTGCTGCTGCCATCAACACCTTTGATTATAGATGTTAGAGATTGGCCTGTCTTTCAGTGTAGTCCTGTTTCTCTGACTGTGACTGGCTGGATGTGCTCTCTTCATCCTCTGACATGGGAGCTGGCTTGGAGCTCATCTGCCTGGCTGTGCGTTTCCTGGATGGGGTCGCCTTTTACAGCTGCTTTTTGCATCTCTGCTTCTGTCTCCTTGAACCCCAGTCGGCCTCAGCAGATGGCTGCTCAAACTGACCCTGGTTCTGCTGGAGGTTTCTTCCTGTTAAAAGGGAGTTTTTCCTCTCCACTGTCACTACAAGCATGCTTAGTGTGAGGGCTTGCATTCGAGTCAATGAATCGATGCAATCAACTGGTTTTCCTTAGATAGAAAACTTTGAATCAATTTGACTGTATGATCTGGTGAACTGTAAAGTGCCTTGAGATGACATGTGTTGTGAATTGGCACTATAGAAATAAACTAAATTGAATTGAAGTCCTTAGATATAATCATTTGTTATAATAATAGAGCATTGACTGTAGAATTATGAGCAACTATAGTAATGAAATATCACACAAGACTAACAACTTAATTTGGACAAAGTGAAACCCTGCATGCACGCAATGTATTTTATAGTAGGTACCGTCTGACTGTGCAACGAGCCAAAAGAAATGAAAAAGCAGTCAAAACGTCTTCAAAAAACTGAGCGAGAGTCCGATTTCCTTCCAGTTTATGCCTGTTTGTGGTTGCCATGACCCGAATGACTGAGAACTTACCCAGGCATACCACACAATGTTCTGTCCTGCCTTTTTAAAAGGCCTGCATGTGTAACTCCTGTTCAGTACATTACCAGTAATGATGGTATTGACTGTAAGGAGGCTTTAATGCTACAGCTGAGAGTGTCTGATGAATGAAGGCATCTGTTTATTAGGAAGTAACACAATGACTGGGATGCAAAGCACTGAGACACGGAGGAGGAGGAGGAGGAGGGGGGATGTCAGATTATTTCTATATCCACTGCATGTGTTTTCGCGATGGTAAGAGATAACGCTGACACCCAGGCGATGTGTACATTCTGTACATTTATGTGCTGATATGTGTATTACTATGCAGACGGTCGGGTAACCCTTTCGCCGAGCGACTCAATCCTTCATCTCCAACCTACGTCGCGTACAGCTGCACTGCATGTTATCTCGTGTTAGACTCGGCACCAGCGAGTTCCTGTCTGTCGGCCCTGGGCTTGTGTCATGGTGCTAATGAGGCTGTGTGTGTGGGATGACAGTATCTGAACCAGGCTAATGGGACTCATCTGTTCTAATTGGAAGTGGAGCAGGAGCTGGAGCTGGGGCCGGGGCCTGCCTGGGGCATATTGCTGCCATATATCAGCCTGCCTGACACTGTATGTATGCCTATGATTGTGTGTGTGTCGGGCTGGGGGGCATGGAGCGTCTATGCGAGTGGGTTATCTGCATACATCAGGACATAACTTCATTTTCCCCAGTGGAGATAGATGACTGGGAAGCCCCAGGGAGCGTTATTGGAGTTTAAAGTTTTTCCTTCTCGTTTTTCATTTGCAAATCAGAGAAGAAGGCCCGTAAAGCTGGCAAAGTGCAGAGTCTTGTATGAAATGATGCAGTGGATCACACAAAGATGCAGTAAATAGTAGACGTGTTAGTAGCAACTGTGAGTTTTTGGAGAAAAGAATCACAAAGTTTTTCAAAGCAACCATAAACCCAAGGTATCAAGCTTATAAAAAAGGTGGAGGTAGTGTAGATTGTGCATTTCAGTGCTGCTGAGAAGATCTAATCAATGAAATCGGGTCAAAGTTTGAGAAGAATAACAGATTGGGTCAGAGCAAACTTACACTGGGATGAGCAATTGTGCCACTGTCATCGTAGACGATGGAAATGGGGAGAGAGATGTCCTGAGAGGGCGGCTTCTCCGATTCCTGCTTCACCTGGACTGCAGCACTCTGTTCACAGAAAGACATAAAACATAGAGACTTAGTCAATCTCCCATTGCGAGGAGGATGCACCTACATGTAAATCAGTTACATTTTAAATATGAAATTATTATTTTAAAAGAATTTAATTGTAAATTTTTTGTATGAGGCATTAAATCACAGGGTGTAGAATTGAGAATTAGGCCCTGCAATATAGTATCCGTCCAGCAGATGGCACAAATACATTAAGTGTTCAACTGTGAAACTAATAAGACATCTGCCTGCATTTTGAATACATTCTGAAATCCATCTGGATTCGTCCATCATAGAATATAGAAAAAAATTTAATTATGTAAATATTTATTTCTCTGAATTTGGCTTAATTCTTTATATTTTAAAAGAGATGGTTATTTTCAAGCTGAAACCACCTAGAAAAACAAAGTAGCTAGAAAAACATTAGCTCCCAACATTTGAGTTAATTGGCAGAACACAGGTCGATATTATAACGAGGTTATATACCTAGATAAATATGGACAACTAAAAAAAATATGTAATATCTATACATGTATGCAAACATCTAAATATATGTGTGTTATCTTAGGCATTTTTATAAATGGGAATGAGAAGAGGACATGCTACTTAAGAACAGGGGATATGTTTTAAAAGTAAATCTCTAAAAGAAATAGCTTCTCACTTAAAACTTGATCATACAGTTTGAGCTACAGTAAAATAAAAAAAAATCCAAAGCAACCAGAATTGTTAGACGTCAAGCTAGATTAGGGGTTCTCAAACAATTTAGGTCCTTACCAAAAAAGAAAAAAAACAAAAAAAACAACAACACACTGACCCCCTAAAAAATATATATATTTACTTCATGCTATATTTAAAGATGTAAAGTGAGGTAATTACATTAGTTTTTACATAAACATATTTTATATATTACATTTAATCACATAAATTATCATTTTAAAAGTATTTAGAATGATTTAATGTGAAATTGTATTATTTAATTGTACAATTTAATTTAAACAATTTCTTAGACAAATAACCGAATACTTGACACATTCAAATTTATGTATTTCAAGATATATTTTGGCCCTCCATATACTTCAAGAATCACTTTAAAATTATTGTGAAAACCATCTTATGACCCCCCCCTGCCCAGGGGCTCCAGACCCCCACTTTGGGAAACCTTGAGCTAGACCATGTGAGACCAATAAGAATGTGTTAAAAATGCTGCCCATTTCTGCAGCGTGGAAACATCGCCATAGGCTACAATAAGCCTCACATTTGAATGGCTGGTCTGTCTTCATTGTTACATTTAATAAAAGAAAATGTAACTTTTACCAAATCCATAGCGGTTTTTAAACACCCATAATTTAAGTGAACATTACACCCTAAAGCAGTTCTTTTTCTAAATGAAGAAATTGTAATGAAGTTCCTTTGGCAGGAAAAAAACGCAAAATCACTGACTACTAAACAAGTTGATGTTGGAAGTGTGAAGCAGGAAAGCGAGGCTAAAGAAAAACCTGCTGAAAATAAATTTTTAGTAAAGCAGTTTTTATTATCCTTATTCTTTTCCATTTTTATTGACATAAAGGGTGTAACTGATCTCTCATTAACTTATGATTCAAAATGATTTATAATAAACTGAT